AAGCTTTATCAGAAAGGAAAGTTTTAAGCCTAGCCTTAGGTTGTTTTGATGCAGCTTCTCATCCATAGAAGCATTTTCCATCAGGCTCTCTCTCTACCTGGAGGACTGCTGTCATTAAGGAAAGATGCAGATGGCCTCACTTGTTTCATGTCATGTCAGCGTTGTGATATCACTATCATGTCATAGTGAGGAAATTGGACCGCCTCCTATCATGGTACCACACTGGAATCCATTGATGTTTCCCCGTTGGTGCTAGAGGCAGCCTGCTAGCTCCTGAGGCCATGGATGCAATGGGAACACTGGAAATGAGTGGTTTGGAGGGCTGACCCACTACAGCTGGCATCACGGCCAGTTTCTCACTGATCTGAACCTGAACAAAACCAGACACCAACTGTCAGTTTAGCTAGAAGGAAATGAAAGTGAAATATGCGTCTATTTGAAGGAGAGGAGAACGTGATGCGATCAGCGGTGAGGGTCATCCATCTCTGATGATGTGGAGGGAGATTATTTCCTTCCTCTTCCACCGATGCTCTGAAAGTCAAAGACGGTTAGAAGCTGCTACCTGAACAGGAAATGGAGCCAAATGTTGTCAGGACGTTACTTCCTGTGCCACAGAGCCAGGCCTCGCCGTCCCCGCGGGGCTCCAGGGACCAGGAACTGGTCTCAGTGGAGCTCAGCGCTCTGTCTGCAGCTCTGGGGTTTCCTGCACCCTCAGGAAGGAGGTGGTTAGCTGGGCATGTTGGGAGGAAAGCCTGATGGCCGCTGTGTGTTTTCAGCAGGGGAGGGAGGGGGGAGAGATTTGCTCTAGATTGTGAAATCTAGAGCAAATATTCCAAGAATCTTGAATTGTAGCAAAAATCTTTTCATGCACCTAGAAATCTGTTTGGGTCGTTCAGTTTTGGGACAGCTCTTTATGAAATGGTAACAATGGTTTCCCTCCCACTGACCAGTTACTGCTTTACTGGGATGGAAATGTTCTGCAGTTCTTAAGATTTAATTTTTAATCCTGTTTTATTCACGCCGATGTAAGAACACTCAGACACTTTAAGGTTTCCTCAGGCTCCTAGTTTGGTCACATCACATTAACCAAAGGTACGGCGGGCATTCCTACTCCAGCCCTCTAGGCGGCGCCGGTACGCCGCCACTCAGCGGAGGGATCTGCAGCTAACACGCCGAGTGATGCATGTAAAACTGACTTCATGGTTTTAGTATCCGTGAGAGGCGGAGCCTGACCCGTTAGCTCCGCCTACAACAAGGCGCTGACTTCAGCTGATGATGTGAAGATGGCGGAGAACAGGATGGCTGTGGTGACTTCCTGTCCCAGTGACGCAGGCGTGGACCAGTTAAACCAGTAGGAGCATTCAGCTTCTGTCTGTTTTAGTTCTGTGGCAGTTATGAGAAAACAGATGTTT